CTCAGCTCCATGATGCCTAGCTTTAGGGTGATACCCTAGCTTTGATGGTGACAACATGCAATCCAGCAAGGCAGGATGTTGTCACAAGTACACTGGGGCTGAGATGGCAGTGCCTGCAGGAGAAGATGGCTGTTGAATGTGTGCTGCCCTTCCAACAGCATCAGCAGGTCCAAGCAGGCCTTGGAAGTCACATAGAAATGAAAGGAGAAGTCTCAGGCTGGGTCATATCACAGCAGTGTGGCACCTGTGTGCCCCTCCCCAGGAGCAGAGCCTAGGAAGGCTCTGCCACAGAAAACCCAGAAAACTCTCAGTCACAAAAAGAATCCAGGTTGTCACTGGGGAACAAATGGTGGCCCGGAGATGCAGGGGGTGGTGATGTGCAGCTGCAGAGGCCCCAAAAGTTCAACAAATGCAGCCCTTAAGTGCTCACAATGAGAGCAAATGGTGAGAAGCCAAGACCTTCCCACCATTTGCTCCCATTCCTGTCACCCACCTGCAGCAGCATTAATGCTTCCCACCACAGAGCTGCTCCCTGGGCAGTAGCTGAGGCAAAACATCTCTGCAATAAGACCTCCTCCATTCCCTTCCTCCATAATGCTGCAATGTATTGGGAGAAAGAGACGCAAGTTCCCCAAAACTCACATTTTCCAAATCATAAACTGTCAAGGAAAAGCCTTTTCCGGAATAGCTGCTCACTCCTGGTCTCTTCTCATCAGCTTCCCCCCTACCCACACAGATCCCTCAGCATCTCTTCCAGCTCAGCACAGCACCACAGGGACCCAGGAGAAGCGGGAAGCAAAAACACATGAAAATGAAGTAATGAGGCTAATGCACAAGATGGAGATGGCCAGATGCTGGGATATCATTCCCTGCTTCTAGGGTGAGAATTAGGTAAGCCAAGCTGCTTTTCTGTAATTGCTCCTTAGGGAAGGGCTTAGGAATTACACCCAGAAAGCAGAAACTGAAATTTGATACAAAACTGGATGGACCACACATTCAAAGCCAGGCCCCCGATTAATGCAATAATGTGCAACACGAGGTAGATGGTTTATGTCAGACATTAATTTTTCCTGCCTATACCCAGCAGGCTTCATCATCCAACACCGCTATACATGTTGTTGATAGGCTGTGTTTGTGATGTGGAGACTTCCTTGAGATTTCTTTTAATCTTTTGTGTTTTGAGGAGCTTGTGCATTGGGTTTCTTTTATCACTAAACCCATATCAGAGAGCAATGTGATTTCATGCAAGATCAGAACAACCCTGTGGCAGGCACAGAGCTGCAGTAGCTGCAACATTTATTGCAGAGAGGTATGCTACCAACATCATCTATCAAATTAACTGCAGTCACATGAAGTATGTCAGGCTAAATTAATTTGTGCATCACATGGCTACAGAAGCGGCGCATAACACAAGCAACATGTTCCCACTGCTGCAGAGCAAGCTGGTATATAGCTGATCCCATTCTGCCCTCCAACAACCTTAAGCTCTGATTTTATTTTTTTCCAAAGGCATTGTGCTGATGCAGATGAACAGAGGAAGTTTGGATCGCTGAGACCATTTAATAAACTAAGGGTGTGTCATAAAAGACCCAACAGTATGGTGCTCTCTTTAGATCCTCCCTTTCTTTCTACTACCTCTATGCATTAATCCACCTTGACCAGGGCAGAGTAAGAAGGCAAGGATTTAATTTCTTTCAGTATTTGGAAAGCACTAGGATCAGTTCCCATTTCATCCCCTCACACCCCACGCCCCCAGCAGCCAGGGTCACCAGACCACAGAAAATGCAGAAGGCCCCTGTGCATGGGTACCCACAGCAGCAGAGAAGGCATGGTCCCAAAAATGCCACTTCTGACAGCCTTAACAACATGGCTGTGCCCTCAGCTTTCCCTTCCATGAAGGCACCTATCACCCATTCTTCTGTAGCTTAAGGCTTTTGCTCTATGTGAGGGGCTCTGTTGGCCAAAAAGACAAATAAACTCTGAGCAGCCTCTCCTTTCCCCCTTGAGAAAGGGGACTCAGGGCACATTTCTGGTTGGAAAGTGCCACAGCAGGGTGGCCAGGATTAGGTGCTTCTGCTGCTGATGGGGAAGCCCAGAGAGGGGAGCAGTGTCACCCACTCCTGGGCACAGTGAGCCTGTCCTGCTGCACACACACCCAGAGCACAGGGAGTTGTGAGCTGGGGTTTGCGAGAGCTGCTCAACTCACTCCTGAGTGGCATCAGTAAAAAATAAAGTATTTGTTGATTTTTGGTATCACAAATGAGGCATGAGGCACAAAGCTGACTCCCTGCTCTGCAAGAAACATACTTTTTCCTCTCTGAGGCTGCAGTTTGCTGTCTCTGCTCAAACTGGCTTCCAACCCACCTCACCAGAAGCCACCACGGGCTGTCCAAGGAGGGGAGAGCTCTCAGCAAGGAGCCCCACAGCTATAGCCAGGCTGGATTTGCTAGGCAAGAACAAGAGCAGCTAAGATATGCCCCACCACACACAGTCCCCTTCCCTCCCCTCACATGCCGGAAGGATTACGGGGCCAGTGCAGGGAACTTCTTGTCCTGCCAGGGCATAAACCTTCCTCTCCCGGTCTTCAGGAGGCACAAAGCAGCTCTGAGAGGTTGCAAGCAGACAGGCTTTATATGGAGTTCCCACAAACATCACTGCTTTTATTTAAGGCAGAAAACACAGGATGTTACAGATGAGTGGAAAAATGTGATGTGCCCCACTGCCTGCAGAGCCCCTCAGACTGGAGAAAGCTCTTCTGGAAGTCAGAGGGTCTCCAGACAGGATTAGGAAAGCACATAGTGTCTGCTCTGACATTTTATTTTTGCCCTGCTTGTCTGCAGCTACACCTCCCTGCACCCCACGCGCAAACACCCTCCCAGCTAGGGTCCCATACCTCCCCTCCCACTTACAGCTTCTCACAGCCCTTTTGTATCTGACTCCTGGGAGGCTCTTTTCAAACTTTTTTGGCAGCTCCGTCTCTTTGAAACACTGGAAAGCTACCAGTGAGAAGCCTGGCTCCGGTTGCCTGCCACCAGTGCTGGCAGCAGCTTGCTCCATCCTCTGCCAGGTCTGCCCCTCTCAGGAGCCCAGGGGCAGCCCCAGCCACCCCTGCCCCTGCTCACCTTCACAGGGGCACCTCAGAGTGCTCAGAGCATCAGTGGCTCTGCAGCACCTGCCAGCATTCACATAGTGCCAGAGATCCCTAACACTGACACCTGTCACAGAGCTCCCTTACACAGCTTTGGGGAGGAATCATCAAAAATTATTTTATTTAATGTTTGTTTTCATGATCATGTATGACAAATGTAGCCCAAGGTACATTTTTTCCCCTAATGTTACCAGATGCTTTTTTCTTCTTCAAGTTAAAGAGTTGCCAGCCAACCTAACATAATTATTAAGATAAACTGGAGATATTTCAAACAGGTGGTTTCAGAAAAACAGCACTTACAACTTAACTTCCCACACATTCATTCACTGGTGCTCCTTACCTTACCAGGACTGGAGAGCTAGAAAGCAGCAGAAGACTCCAGAGTATGGCACAAAACACCCCTCTTCTGTTGAGCCAAATTAGGCCCAATGCTTTGACACTTAATTTATACCCCTTGAAACACCTGGCCCAGAGTACCTTCTAATTGATTACACTTAAAAATTGTTGATTGGCTTGCCCCTAGTGACCACATCAGTGACCACAATTACATGATCTGTTGAAACAAGAGGCAGTTACTATTTCTTAACCATTTTTTTTTTTCAGTGTGGTAAGATAACTAAGCAGTGTATTGAATGACATACTATTACTTGTATGCTTAAGCACCTGAGTCCTTGATCTTGTGCTTTATAAAGTGCTCTGAGCTGTGCAGTAATTGCCTATAAATAAGCTGCTGATCATGCTTAAAGGGACACTGTCAAGGTTGGAAGGCCTACAGTTTGACTTAGTAAAATTGCATCTTCAAATAGTTTTATTCTTAGTGTTTCTAAATTACCAACTTGTGGGGCTTATCATGCTTCTTTTTATCAGTCCAGCTCCTAGAAGTAATAACGTTATGGGAGAATGTTCACTTTTAAATCAATGGACCAGACATAGGAATTATATTGATGGAGGCTAATGTTCTCATCCTGAACATGCAAATAAAAGCACTTTTCTATAAAACTTATTTTTCCTGATGTGAATATGCATGACCTCTATTGCCCTTATGGTTTGCTATAAGGTCACCCCTTGTTGAACCTGTGTCTTGTGAAAGAAATCTTCAAGAAAGAGCACAAGGCTGAGGGCATCAGGCCCAGGCAAGTCTGCAGCCTCACAAAGTGCCCATTTTCCATGGTGTCTCTTTGTCAGCCAGCAGTCCTGTCCTAGCTGAGCTGAAGGGGAGGGCATGCAAAAAGAGGGGGCTGGGGAAAAGAATTACAAAGGCTGGTGAGGAGCCTGAAACTTCTCATCCCCAGCAGAGCTGTTGGGAATGCAGAGAAGCGATGGGATGGGGAAAACCCAGGGCTGAGAGCCCTTTCCCTCACAGTCCCTCCTGTGAGGGGCTCTGTGGCTGGAGCCCAGCGTCAGGGGAACAGAAGCCAGCTATTGAGGAGCTTTTTGATCTCAGACAAAGAGCAGAACTGGACTTTCTCTTAAGGAAAGAATACAAATAGCTGAGGAGTGAAAGGTGGCCTGGGAATTCTCCTTTTATGAAGGGCTTGGTTTATTTCTGAGCTGAATAACTCAGCTCCCTCTGAGCTGCAGTTTTCCAGCACAGTCTGTACTCATGGGAAACCTGCAATGCCACAGTTACCAACTCCATAGATGTCAGTCAATGAAAAAGTATGGCTCAGTGGTGCCAGAGAAAATGCAAGGCAAATGGGGAGAAGCTCTAAGCAAAGGCTGAGTGGATACTGCCAGGGTGGCTGTGTAGAAAGGCACTTTTGGAAGAGGAGACATGGCCTGTGCCCCCCTGCATTATCCAGCTACCCTCTGTGCTGCAAGGTTTGAAGACAAAGTTCTGGAGTTTCCAGGCTTCACCTCCCTTTCTTCCAGAAGGCAAAAGATTTGTCGATACCCTAAACATGAGGCAGAGTTTTGGATGCACTTACCCATCACAGGTGTATGTTGGACAACTCTAGGGACTTGAGGGTAGCGTTGGAAAAATTGTGTCACACAAAACTCAGGAACAACAACAACAACAAAAACAAACAGAAAAGAAATGCCCCCTCTGGGGCCTGGGAGAAAGGCACACCTCCAGCAGCCATGCCTAAATCAGGGGCTGGTGAGTGCTTGTGGCTGGTGGCATCACTTGAAGGTGCACTCCTCAAAGAGGTGGGAAGAGTAAAAATCTTCTTTTTTTTTTTTTTTTTTTTTTTTACTCACAGGAAAGAGAAGAAAGTAAAAGAAAATCCTCCTGCTGAAGATGACACAGAACAGAAAAAGGCATGTTCTAATGTCAATCTAATGACAGATATGGCTCAAAGTTCCAGCAGGTGGGAAGGTGATCCCCACACTTCCAGCAAGCATCCAAGAGAGCAGGGCAGCGTAGGGGCTGTGTCTCTCACTTGGGCAAGCCTTGTAAGGTGTGAATATGGATATGGATAAGCACTTGAAAAAAGTCTCATGTGTTTAACACCAAAGAGTGCATTTCAGGCTCTTAACAGTTACACTGAAACACTTGAAAGTGCAACTTGCATACATTTGAAGAGCAAGAGCTCCAGAAAACATAATAAAAGCCAGATGAGCCCAAAGTCTTTCAAAGTACTTTAAAAAAATCTCATGCTTTTAGGCAAAGCTAATATCTCTGGTTTGTTTTGTGCTGACTCAATAATTTTAAATGGTTGTCTTTGAGAATTGTAAGACCGGTTTAATTTTTTGTAGGTTTACTCCATAGAAATGCTTAAAAAGCAATAAAGCCAATCTCAATAGCTTTGCTTAAATCCATGACTATATCAGTTCTGTGTTATGGGTACACAGGGAGAAACTGAGTAGGAATTCGTAAGGGATTCCTATAACAATAGTTACATTGTTTGCACACATACACACCATAATAATAACAAGAGAAAAGCAATAGCAACCTTGCAGTTACAAAAATACCAAGTGCCCTTTAAAAATGTACCTGTATATTCTGTGTTTACCCAAGATTAACAGTGTCGCTAGGGGCTGATACTTTCTGTACGTTGTATCTTCTGTCTGATTTATTCAAGGTTTTTTTTTTTTTTCTGGGCTTCTTTTCTTCAAAACTGTGCTTGCTTGTGCCTTATGTTCACCAAGAGGAACCTAAGTTCCATGAGTAAACACCTGGAAGCTGAGAACAGGAGTGTGTAAGAAACCTGGATTAATTTAACGACAGTGCCTTATAATGGAAAATATAAATTCTCCTGCTGCAATTGGTATATACATTCAACAGTTTTATTGTATGTCAGTGCACATTATTCAGCACAGCTGCCAGAGAGGCATTGCTGAACTGGTGTTTCTCTTCCATGACAAACACCTATTAAGCAGTCAGCATAAACTCTTCTTGTTACAGCCTCTGACATCACCCTCAGGGCAAGCGGACACAGAACAGCGATTGCTGAATCGCGTATGAAAATTATAGTTTTATTGTCTACACAAGTGAAGGTTTAACTCAGATTCCTGTTCGAGTCAGCTCTGTTATAAAGGAGTGATTCTTTCAGGGAACAAACAAGCACAGTACACCATTGTAATCAAAGGAACAGACACTATTTATGTATTGGAAAGCCTTGTTCACAATAGTGCTAACACTCCAATGCCCCAGAAGCCACTATTTTAGCAGCTGTAGAGAAGATAAAGCATGACTAACAAGATGCCATACAGAGTCAGATAGTTTTTCAGAGCACAGATGGAATCATCCCATTTAATATAATTCAGTTTACATGCACGACCAATAAGTGGGAATCATGTATTTAATGTTTATATAAGCATTTTCTCCACCGTAGCGTTCAAAGAGTTCCAGTGTCTCTTGGATGAGAACTCCAATATTTTCACGTTTCTGCTGGCCGTATTCTATCCCATCACCTAAATTAACTGGTTAATAAAAGAAAAAAAAAAAAAAGAAAAATGAAAAGGGAAGAGTTAAATTGAATTTTGTCTTATACTTCAAAATAACGACATAGAAAATTGCAATTGCTGGTCAATTGCAATGAAACTAAAGGAAAATTAAAATAATTAAACACATTCTTATATAAGATGAATATAGATTCTCTCTTTCACAGTCCACCTCTAAAACCATTACTTCTTTATCTTTAGCACTGCTCATTTAAGACAAAATTCTACTGCCAGATGCGTAAGCACTTTTCTAAAAATTAATCTAGACTTGTTATGGTTTGAAATCTTAAATAGATATTAGTTTGGGATTGCTCCACATTAGTCATCATATTCACACACTTATGTCGTTCCTGATAGAGGCAACCTGGCTAAAAGAGATTTTTTTGGAGTATAACATGGAGTATAACATCATTCAATTTCAGCTTCCTGAAAAATGTGTAAAATTAAGCCAATGCAAAAGGACAAATTATTGCAGTCCCCAGACACAGGAACATTTACTGCTGCTTTGTCTAACATGGACTAGTAAGGGTGATACACACTCATGCACACAGATCATAATTCTTTAAAAATCAGTATGAGCATCTGTGATAACAAAACAAGAGCAATAAGAAATAACTTCACCTACAAAGTTGCTGAGAGATTTAAAGAAGGAAAATATTTTTCATTTGGTTTTAAAACAATATTCTGAAAAGTATCTCAAAAAGCATCTGAATATATATTCCAATACATGTATGAAAATAATTTGGAAGGAGCAAAATGTACTCAGACCAGGTTTGGTGTAGTGGGGAGCTGTCACACTGCTCTAGGGTCATCCACATGCAGCAGCCAGTGGCCTCACTCTGGGCAGTGGTGACAATGTGCCCATGCTAACATCTCAAACAATCAGTGGCACTCTCACTCAGCCAGAGAAAGACCCATTTGTCAGGACAATGCAGCTTCTTGGCAGAGCTGGCCTTTCACATTTGAAACAGGGCAAACACAAAGGCAAGGGTAGATTTTGCCCTCACTGTTGCTTCTAGATCCCCAGGCTGATGCCGTGTAGATGTACAACTGCACCAATCCTCACATCCTCTCCTAAATCTAAGCCCAAAGATCTGGATTTAAAACTTGTGGCTTTGTTACCAGCAAAAACTGAGGAACCATGATCATGAAGAAACAGCTGGTGAACCTGGGCAAAAATCATCCTTTTGGTGAATTTTTCTGTAAAATATCTGACTTCTTACACATATTTATGTCACTTTACTTTTTATGAAATGGTTTTACAAATACTGATGTGGCATATGAGGACTGTGATTCTTGAGTGGGAAGGAGGTAATTTATTTTTTATGATAATTGCTTTTAAGCACACAAATATTTTCCAATACATTAACTGTTAATCTCACTGACATGAAAAGCCAGGGTTGTGACATCAAAATTTATTACAATGAATTTACTGTTATGTTACAAATAACAGAAAATGAGAGTGCATAGAGAACACCAAGAACTATTAGAAAAAGGATTGACTTATACAAAAAGAAAAGCACATCACAATTGGGTGCAATTTAGAATAAACATGCTCTTGCAGAAGGCAACTGAGATAACTGTGCCTCATCACCTGCCTTGCATGTGCAGTGCAAGCCCTCCCCAGAACACCTGGAGGTATTTCTGATTTCACCAGTTTGAGCAAAGGAAACCCTGAACCTTGACCTAAGTCTTGGCAAATACGTAAAGGAATTACTGACTTTCCAACCATATGTCTATTATCTGTAATTTTAAGCCTACACACATGCTCTGCTAATGAGCTTACACAGCTTTCATCGTTCTTTCAAAGAAGTAGCAAAAAAAATCAGCTGTCTGGAAGTAATGGTGATACATTTCTAAGGAAGTCTGGGGGAGGCCAATGAGAAGCCGTGATAATGCTGGTAGCAAAGGTATTTTCCAGAATTGCATGCTATAATCTTTATTATAGAACATAGTCTGTACAAAAAATTATGTCTTAGATGCTTGATTAAAAGGTACCTAAGAGTGTGAGGCAAAGATAGAAGGAAGACTGAATGTGTGATGTGCAGACCATCATTACAATTTTTTTCCTGCAGACCATCTGTGTTTTATGAAGGTTTGTATCCTCAAGACAGTCATAATTCACACCAGTGTCATGACACAAGCTACAAGCAAGAAAACTGGAAAGGTTATGTCAGCATTGATGTCACCTGGTAAGTACTAAAATGGCTATCCTATGTAGTTATAGAATTAGCAAAGCTTTCATGCAAATATTAAATGCATTAGCCCAAGAGGACAACATCCATTAAATGCATGAGTCAGAATGATCTGCCCAAGGAACCTAAGGGTAAATATCTACTTGTAATAATAATGATTAGTTGGAAAAAAATAGCCATTGAAGTATAAGGGTCTCAGCAGCCCTTCTCTGGTTTGACTTTATTTCCAAGTTAGTTTGCCTGAGAAGCCAGCTTTGTCAGCCACAAAAATGTAGCATATGAAAAGTGTGAACATGGATCTGGTTCAAACTCTTCATGAAGTTGTCCTTTGTGAGGAAGAATAAATCAACATGAAAATGCTAGGAAGCACATTTGTCATATCTTTGACTCAAAGTGAAACGTCTGGCAAATTCTGTATGCACCAAGAACTCATTTCAGAACAAATGTTATTTCTATGTTTAGAAGAAATGCATTGAAGGATGACTGACAGATCTAGAGGATTGCAATCAGGATCCCTGATCCCAGCCCTTCCTGGATCAAAAAGTTAGTTCCCAATCTCCCAAATCATGCACCAAAGGCTTAATGGTGCTTAAAGTGAAGTGAAAGTCCCTGCACCTGTCGAGACCTGTGTTAGCTGATGCAATCAGCGGCACACCAAGGCCAGGAGCGGCACTCCCTGCCCTGCCAATGCCAGCTGCTGTAGCCAGGGAAACCCTGCTCAGGCCCTCAGGGACTCAGCTCAGCCTTTGGCAGGGAACAGAGGAAGATTTGATTTTTGCTTAAAAGGTGGTTTGTATTTGAGTCTAGACATGCTTCTATTCATGATTTGGGATAATTCTGGTGTTATTTGTATTTCATGTCATTTCATTTTAAAATTTCACTAGGGCAATGCTACAAGCATAAAATATTACTGCTTTAAAGAAGGATGAGCAAGTTTCTCTCTATGCACTATAAGCCTGATATGGCAGTTTTGACATCCTGGAGTGGACAAAAAAGGTAAACCAACCCTTAGAGCTCATTTAGATCTATTCTTAACTCTAGACATTTGTTAGCACCTGAAAGTGCCCAAGAAATTCCTTTAGTTTATTAGATTTCACTTCAAGGCAAGCCAAATCTCAAAAAGAGGAGTTTTTAATCTCCTAAATATGTTCCTTGTAAGTATTTCACAGTTACAAAAGCTTGCTCCTGGTGATGATTGTTCCAAAGGTTCTGCTTTACACAAATTAAGGGCAGGGTTTCCATACACCTGTTATTGCAGGGATGTCATAGATCTTGGGATATTATATTTTCCACAAACGTTAAATATCTGAGGAATGCTTAGTATTGGAACAACATTTAAAAGAAATTTCTGAACTGACTGTGTAGACAGCCCCATGTTCCCTGTTTAGAGGACATTTTTAATCAAATTGTAAGTCAAATGTAATTCCTTTGTGCTTTACTGAAGAAAGTGTTTCTTTACTGATTCTAAGTGTATATAGTCACACTTGTGTATTTCAGCTTGTCTTGGAACAAATGATTCTTAGCAGAAGTTTTTGAAGTGCTACTAGTTAACAAAGAGCTCTGGTACAACAGTTGGGTTTTTCTTGTTTGGTTTTTTTTTTTTTTTTTGGTACACAAAACAATAAAACTCCTTGGAAAGATAGGCATAATTCCTTCCTTTTGAGTCTTGAAAAACAAAGATACTGAAAGGTAAGTAAAGTGACTTCCAAGGAAGGTATGAGTCACAAACCATGATTCTCGACTTTTATTGTTGACAATGAAAGTACTATTTATGGTAAAATACAACTATGGTAAAAATCCATTTTAAGTGGCTCAGTTGACCCTAGTCAAACTAACACATATTTTCAGCAATTAGAATGAGTACAGGAATGCAACATGCTGACCTGAATGTTACTTCAAAACAAAAATCCCAGCAGCAATGTGATTGAGCCTGTCACATAACAAAATGCAATTAAGCAGTACAAACTAGCATTAAAATTTTTGGAGGAAAATTTCAGAGCTTTCTTTCCTTCTAGGAGTCATCACCAATACCAAGAAATAAATGGAAGCTGATTTCAGCTACAGACTGACATGCATCCATGTCAGGGTTCACATCATGTAAGTTCACTACTCAGGCACAGTTCAGAGCTTAATTAAGCTTCCAAAGTCTTCTTGTTAGGATAAATTTAATTGTCATAGAATGTGTTGGCTTCCTGACTGGAGTGGGAAATGAAAGCCCTGATGAGTCAGTGTGGGGAGAGAGGAAGGCTCCTTTGCACCACTCCTATCACTGTGACTCAGAAATCTGCTTTGAAATTGTCAGCTCCAGGAAGAATGAGGTAGTTCAGTCTCCCTGTTCATTTAATTGAAAGTCGGTGAAAAGTCACAGGGTAAGAGTATAAACCCCTCCTGTCTGCTAAGAAACAGTGGGACATTTCCAGTTCATTTCACTCAGGGCAAGGAAGAGACACCAGGAGGTTATGACTTGTGGTTGCTACTAACCCAGACAGAGAACCCCATGTTCCCTTTGTGAAGGCTCAGAGCAATGTGAACATCAGTTTTATATGTTCTTTAGGATAAGGCTAGATTATGTACACACAAAGTGCAAACTGGCCTCAGGTAGACTGGTCCCAAAGCTAGACCAGTTGGAAAGAAGAGCTCATAGAGTACTTTGTGTTGGAAGGAACCTCTGGAGTCATCTGGTTCAAATGCTCTGCTCTAAATCAGCCTCATTTCCAAAGCTAGACCATGTTGCTCAGGGTGGAACACCTCCAGTTGCTCAGCACAGAGTGATCCCAGAATGGG